CGAGCTGCCCTGCCGTGCAGGCTGCCTCTGCAAGAGCGCATTTTCCGTGCTGTAGCCGTTGCTCTCTTGCCTCCTTTGCCCCGAAATGCTGCACACGGTGCAGCCAGCAACTCCGTCTTTTGTCTTTCCAAGCCTCAACACAATGCCAGTGTTATAATAACTGCTCCATAAAAGAGGGAATAAATGATTAAAAACCACTCTGCTTTAATTGAGCTAATTTAATGCGCAGTGATTGTAATTGGTTCTCTGTCTTCATCTCATTTGACACCAGAAAATTTCAAATCCATGCTAAATTTGAGCCATTTCTTTAATAGCAGGAGGAATTCCCTCTATATCAAAGCAGACAGCCAAGACCTCTGAACACCTCCCAGAGCAGGTCCTTGGCTCTGGGCAGAGAAAGAAACCATGGCCTACTTGCCTCTCTATGGCTAGATAAGGATTCAGCCCCTGGAGCTACTCAGATAAAGCTAGTGCTCTGTCGTTTATTTGAAAATGATGCCAAGTTCCTCTTCTCTTTCCCATGTGGATGTGTTAGGTTGTGACATCAAGGTAGACCACACAGGAGGGGATGTCATGGGCAGAATGACTCATGAGGACAGCTGCCAGGGATGCTCTGGCCAGCAAAGGAAAAGCTCGGGGCAGGCATGCCCGAAAGAAGACGGTAAGCCGGAGACGGAAAGCAACAGGAAGGCAGCTCCTTTTGCCAAGATTCAGAGAGCCACGTGCTGCTCAAGTGGCCCCCACCTACTGATGCAGCAGTGCACTGCAGACAGGTGACTGATGCAGAGAAGGGACAGAAGTGGGACTCTGGGTCACCAGCAGAACCCTGGATGAGTGGGGGTCGGGGGGTCCAGAAGGGGCCCTGCAGCCTGGAGAGGGCGTCGGTGACAAGTCCCCTACCTGTACCCCCCATGCAACTCCATCACCACGCACAAGACCAGATATCTGATTCTGATTACAATACAAATTATTAATGGAACCATGTGTGAGCCCCCCTGTGCTGTGTTTCACACGTTCCCAGGAGCTCCGAGGTTGGGGATCAGTGATGCATCCACAGGCAATGACCATGAAGCAAATTACCTATGGGGATTTATGTAAGAACAGCCTACAAAGGTACTCTCTACAGATCGGGATTCCAGAGCCCCCAGGCTACCTGCATTCCTGTGGACATCTGCAATTTGTCACCAACTGACCGAGATTACAGTGCCCGGGACAGAGCCCACCAGCCCAGCTTCACCTCTGAGGACCACATGCTTTGGGTCACTACATGCTTATTTGCAGACATGGTTGGGAGCCTCCACTGGGATCAGGCTGTCAGTTTGATGTCACTCTGTGGGTGGGTGGAAAGTGCTGGTTACCAGTGGACAAGCTCAGAGTAGCTTCTCCACGGGAACATTTCTGGATACCCCATTTGGAACAGGGTTTCTGGTAGTCCAAGTAAGAAAATACCCATGTTGAAGATGCAAATAGAGATCATCATTTCAAAGGGTAGTGTTAAAAACAACTGATGGCCTTTGGAAGATTGAAACAACCCAAGTGCCCATCAATATCTGAGTGGATTAATAAAATGTGGTATATGTATGCCACAGAGTTCTACTCAATCATAAAAAGCAATGGTGATCTAGTACCTCTTGTATTATCCTGGTTGGAGCTAGAGCCCATTCTTCAAAGTGAAATATCACAAGAATGGAAAAACAAGCACCACATGTACTCACCATCAAATTGGTACTAACTGATCAACACTTAGGTGCTCACGTGGAAGTAACATTCACCAGGTGCCGGGCAGATGGGTGGGGGGTGGAGGAGATGGGTAAACTCATAACTAATGGGTGCGGAGCGCACTGTCTGGGGAACAGGCACGCTTGTAGCTCTGGCCTGGGCAATGCAAAGGCAATATATGTAACCTAAATGTTTGCACCCCCATAATATCTTGAAATTTAAAAAAAGGAAAAAAAAATAAAATAAAAAAAGAAAGTTTACAGCCCGTTAATGGCATGCCTGGTTTGCTAATTTTGAAAGCCCATGGAATCTGTCTGTGTTGAGGGCTCTCCTGACCTCTGCCCTTTTGCCTACTGGTCTCATCTTCGTTCCTTGGGATTCTGCCTCTTTCTCCCTTAACAGCTCCCTCTCTGGGGCTTTTCCTGTATAGTGTAGATGTATTTTCTATATATTTTTCTTCAGCGTGTTTTGTTCTTTCTCTGTCTCTTCTTCCACATCTGCTTTTCCTCCTTTCTCTGTTTTTTCCTTCCTTATCCTTATCATGACTCTCCTCATGTCAATAATGTGATATAAAATATTTTAAAGTATTATCTTTTATTTATTAAATAAATAAATTAAATATTTATTAAATAAGGTTGCTTTTAATTAAACATTTAAAATCTGTTAATATTTGCATGTCTTTTGCTTGCTCTTTAAAGAAATGACTGACGTTGATTTTTATGAGGTTGTTGATTAATGGGCTTTGATGGAGAGAAACGCTCCTCACCCTGCTCTGGAAGACGAAGGAGATGCCCCTTCCACACTATGGTATTTGCTTAGCCATTGATCACACCGGGACAGCGAGGGCAGTAGAATTGCTATCCAGCTCTAGTTCAACAGAGATGTTCTAGTAACCAGATGGTTCTTGCTTGGCAATTTAATAAGCAGCGTGTGCTGGCTCTGGAAACCCATTCAGAGCACTGTGTCCTGGGTATTCATGCTTCTGTTTATGTTTCTTCCTCCGGTGGCCATGGATTTGATGTTCCCATCCATTTTACTGTGCAGCAATTGTATGTTAATTCTTTGCTTAGCCTACTGATAGAGTCTCCTTACATAACTATGTATTTATTTCCTTATATATTTCCCATGTAGAATAAATATGTAGTTGTATATTTCACTATTCATGAACTTAACTTTAATGAAATGTTTAGTGTATTGACCACATGATTAGCATTTCCTAGCATCTAGAAGAGTTACTGCACATCTAACATATTTTATAATGTTTTGCATCCTTGTAAGGATCAGTGAACCTGTACGCTGGATATGATTCCAAAGTCTGTTCTCAAACTGTAAATTTCCCTAGGCATTGAAAAATATCTGTGTAATCTTTTTCATAAAGGCAAAGCAAATTAGAAGAACAGCTGTACCCTTTCTTCTACCCAAGGATGTGGAATTCAATTTTGATAGAATTTTCTTAAGACAGTGGGATCCTAGACCAAAGTCATTAGAATTGTTGCCCAGGCAAACCTGAAACCTAAAACCAACAAATAAGTAATCAGATGAAGAATTCTTATTTAAATGTATCGGGAATCCAATAGAGATAGAAAAATTAAAATACCTTTATCAGAAATATTGATCAATACAGTGCTCTTAATGTTTCATAATTCAGTTAGATGAGTTACAAAAGTAATATTCACTGAACCAGAATATCAACGTCTAACAGACGCCTTGTAAAAACTATTAGCATCACAACCCATGCACGACACTATCCGATTTACTCACCCAGACACTCAAGACTCAGTTCACGGACAATGATGCTGGATTCTAAGCCACTGATCTATCACTGAGAAACTGTGGGTCATTTGTATTGGTGACTTTGGACTTAGAGATGGGAACTACATCTGCTCATGTGCTGTGGATTGTGAATTAGTGGGTGTTGTCCACGGCTCCACTCCATATATGACAATACAGGCTTGTCCCTTTTGGATGGTCCTGATAACCTCACCACTTCATTCTAGGTTTGAGGACAGCACATTCCACGATTTCAAGATGGCTTCACTTACACAGAATCAGTTTGGGTTTCCTCAAACCCACTGGTAGATTGTTTTAACACTTTTCCGACAATAAGACTAGAGGTAGAAAAGAAGGATGGAGCAGAGAGGAGGGCAGGCGATGACACAGAAAGAAGAGCAGAACAGAGGCGTGTAAGCGCAGAAGAGGATCCGTTCTCTACCTGGTCCCTTCGAGTCATCATTCACATGGCGAAATGCGCAGGCGATCAAGACTTAGGTAAAATTAGGCAGAGGTTTGGGATCGGGAGTTAAAGAATGCAATGTAAACAACTGTTTAACATTATCTTTTCTTGGTGTGGGTGGGTATATAGGGATAAAGGTTCATTGACCACGCTGCAGAGGAGCACTTGTATTTAACAGTCTCATGATTTGAGGAATAGTGGAAGGAAGCCGGTGTACAGTTACATGCAGGCAAGACTAACGGTTAATTCTGCAGGCCAAATTTAATAAGGTGTTCACGGTCCTAATGACAGTGGAGAAGGGTTGGTAAGCCTCCCTTGTAACTTTACATATGAAATCTAACACCAAGAGCAATTTTTATTTTTCAAAGGAAAAAATATGGCTTGTCTGTTTATTTCATATCCATATGGTCTTTAAAATTTAAACTTCAACATAGAAAATTGCATTTCTCATTTGCAGAAGGATTTATTATAATTAATTCCCCTTTTCTTTTAAAAATGCTTTGTGTATCCTGTTTATTTAGCTGAAGAGTGCAGAGCATTTTAACACTGACATACTCAAAAGTTAAACCATTACAAGCTACTTATGCCTTAAGCAGTCCATTTTTTAATAATTCTGTCTGCAATTTCTGAACTACACCTAAAAGGTTTAATTAACAATGATTCGTCATTCTTCCTTCTCCTTAGATCATGCAACCCATGGAATATATGTACAGGAAACTTCAGCTGACTTTGACTAAATCTCCTAAAAGTCAGGTTGAAGTTTTTGTGGGCCCCGATCTCCAATGCAGTGCTACACATAAAATCTATTTTGATTCTTCAGCTCCACCGCGGGTCACAGCTTCAGCACAGAATTTGACCCCAACCAGAACGAATTTTGAATAATGTGTAAGGTAACATCAACAAAGCGATATATGTTAAACACACCTGGGTTATTGTAAAAATGAAAAAGAAGGACAAATCAGATCATCATAAGGGGATGCGTCTTTTGCACGATTTTGTGTTTTTCCATTCAAAACCAAAAATATATAATAAAGTTCAGGTTACTCACTCATGGATTCTGTCAACTTGGCCATTGCTGTAGTTTCTTCTTTGTGCTTCTCCTGGAGGTGAGAAGAAAGACAAGTATATATAAAAACATCTTAGATATGAATTGATATAAGGGGTTGGTTACAGCTATATCTCTCTTCCTTCTTTTTCCTAGGTCAGAATTTGGTTTCCAATAATTAAATGAATAAAAAAACTCACATTATAGCTATTTTATCAGTCACTGAAAAGAGATTTTTAGGGCATTAAAAAACTTCCCATCGCTCTTGGAAATAAGCATCTGTCATACTGATCTTGGATATATATAATTGGTGACGCACGACCAGTTTTCAAAACCTCTTTGACACTGGATTTTTGACATCCATATGCCAATTTTTTTTTTGCGCTCTGTTTTCCCCCATTGAAGCTTTCTTGGTATTTTTGGAGCTGATATTTTTGTAGTCATTTGGTTTCTTTTTTCCAAAAATTGAAGTAGATTTTGTTCATCTTTCTTTGTCTTACTTTTTGGGTTCATGGAGTCTTTTGAAAGTCATCAGTTTTGATGGGTTTATAACCTTATCTATTTTGGGCTGAAAATATTTTGTTTCAACTGGGATATAGGTTATAACCCACTGCATCTGAGAGCCAGAATAATACATACAGAAATTCAATCTGTCCTAATTAAAAATGACTTTGGAGCTATTAAGAATAATGGTCATCTCTACTGAACAGTTCTCTTTAATGTCTTCAGATTTCTTTGAGGTTCTTTAATTTCCTTGGGTTCTAACATATGTAGTAACTGAAACATTGCCCACTATTATTTTACTTTTTTTGCAGCCTTGTTTTTCTGATTGTGAAACTAAAACATGCTCATTATATACAAACTGAAGAAAATACTGAAAAATTATAAACACGGAAACATATTTCTCTCATAGTGACATTCCGAGAGGAAATCACTGTTGAATTTTGATGAACACTTTCTAGGCCCATTTCTCTACCTGTAAATATTTACAGGTATGGAAATATAATCCCATTTTTATAGATATAGATATCTATACGATACATACAATATTGTAAGTGACTTTTTCACTTCATACCATATCATATATCTTTCTATGTCAGGAAAGGTAGACTACATCATCATTTTTTATTGATTGCATAGCATTCATCACTGGTTATGCCATAATTTCCTTAACCAGATCCCATTTAATTTACTTTGAATTTTTCACTATTTTATAAAATACTGTAATGAGCATTCTTGAACTTATATCATTGTGCACCTGTCCTGTTACTTACTGAGGATAAACTCCAAGGTTAGGTATGACTTGGGCAAAAATTATAAATGCTAAAAATGTTGACACATAGTATTCAGTTGTCCCACAGAGTTTATATCTGAAGGTGTATAGAAGTGTACGCTTCCTAACGTTCTTGTCAACTTGCCAGTGGCATTAACGCTTTCCCCCACCAATCTTTGCCCAACTGATAGGCAAAAAATGGTATGTTGTTATTTTATACTGTCATCTTTCTTCCTCTGACCTTTTATTTATGAACAACCTCAGCGCTCTGTCACAGGTAATCACTGTGTCATTTACTCTCGGTTTCACACTGTCGTGTTCCAGCTCCTTTATCATCAAAATTTTAGTTCTGAGAAGCCCAGGGTGGCATTTACTCTCCCCCACGGCCCTAGTACAATGCCAGGCATGTCACAGCAGCTCGGCTGGCACCTGAGTCGGTGTGTCATGGCTGGGGTGTTGTAGTGCAGTTCGTGAAACTGTTATTCATCCTCCTTGTGGCGCTCTTCCCAAACCAAAAGGGGATGCTCTGATCGGGTGGCAACAGCGACGTTGTACGTTACAAGTACCCTTGGTTTCCACAAGCCCTGTATTCACAACAATGAAATCAGGACACCGCCTCTTACTTAAACTAATAATTGCCCTTGGGAACAGGAGGAGCTAAGGAACTGCTATCTGCCAGCCTGCTGGCTGTGGCACTGCGCCCATGGTATTTAGCTACCACATGGCTCGTATCGAGATGCAGAGAAACAGCACAGTGTGGGCCAGGGGAGAGGGTGAGGGTGGCATGTAGGAGAGGCAGAGAAGACAGGCAGAGAGGGACTGTCACAGCAATGCTGTCCACACCAGTGTCCACGGTGGCTGCTTACTGGCCCACCCCAGCGAGCTGCGACTATTCAGGCATAAAAGTTGCCCCATGGCAGGATCTCAGTGGAATTTGTCCTTGATCGGTGGGAGCCTCCTTCTGTTTTGGTTTGCTCTGTCATTGGCTCTCAGTGTCGCCTCTCAGCCTAGCTCTGCTGTCTCAGTCCCTCCAGCTGCACCAAGTCCCCGTGCGTCCTGCTCTGTGACTCACTTCTTTGTTATCTGGATACATGTTCTGTCGGTGCTCACTCTGGGTCACTGACCTTTCCTTCTTGGCCCTCCTCTGATGGCGTCAGCAGTGAGACCCCCCCAAACCACAGGCACCCAGATTCCAGGCAGGATATAATCCCGAAAAAGCCCGGTCAAGTTTGTCTGCTTCCTTGTGTGTGTGTTACCACCTTACCTCTTGTGACTCCAAGGACCCTGTGACATTTTGGCCCCCCGTCTTGCTGTGGGGTGGTCTTTGTAGCTATTTTTATTCAGATGTGCAGGATATCCTAGCCCTAGAGATGTCAAATACTGCCTGGACCAGCATTTTCCTCTTCCCTGGAGTTAAATGGAATCTTCTGACATCAAGGGGGGAGGGGCCCTTAAAAATTCTAAATTTAGCTCTCACAGACTGACTCATCTATATCACAACTTATGGTGGGAATCATGACATATGTTTTTGTGTAAGTAGTTTAGTCGTTCTATTGGATGTCTTTAAACGCCTTATGTCCTTCCCTCATTATCAGAAAGTTGATGTTTGCAATTACACAGCGTGTACACCCGATAAAGCATTTACATTCCATTCTTGGTCCCAAGCAAATTCTCCTCCTTATTCTAAAGCCAAGAGTTTCCTCCACAGTAAATTTCCTGGTTGTTGGATTTACACTGCTGGGAAGAGATTTAGAATTCTAGCATATTAAAACTGGAAGAGATTCTTTCAGAGACTGTCAAGTCCAACCCCAGAGCGATGCAGTTGATGGCGCTGAAGCCCAGGGAAGAGTGTGACACGCCAAGAAAGGAATTCATACCAGCCGATCTCCTCCCTTTGTCAATAAGCTCTACCCTCCCAGAAATCGCAAGGTCTGCCACCCATGAGCCTACTTGGATGAGATTCCTTACACAGCAGTCCCGTGCTGTGTTGGAGTTTCCTAGACTTGCCATTTCTATGTTCTGTCTTCAAGTATTCTCAACTACAACAATGTCCCTAATTTCCACAAATGGCTGGCGACTCCCAAGTTTGTATATCCAGCCCTGACCTCTCCATTCAACTCCTGCTGCCCTCCTCCTCTTTCTTCCTCACCCCTGACAGTTTGCATATTTGAGATCTGCTCTTTCCTAGCTGGGGTCTGTTTAGGAGACTATTAACATTGCCTCCACCTGCCTCTACCTGCTCCGTCTCACAGGCAACACTGAGGCTTATCCTGAAATGGCCTTAAGGTCTCTACCGAAAACACACACCAGACCCAGGCACCCGCTGCTTGGAAGCCTTTGGTTCTTCTCTAGCCAGCAAGGATGTGTCCTCCTCTTCATCAAGGGCCCGCTGCCCGATGGCCCTGTCTCCTCCACACACGTCGCAGTTACGGCTACATGCAAGCCATGGCTGCTTTGTGTCTTCCTGCCTCTGAAAGTGCTTTCTTCTGCCTGGACACCCCAAATTCCACTTTATCCTTATCCTCCCCGAACTCAACCCTAAGAACTGCACTGGGCACTACCTGCTCCTTCCAGTTCCCCCTGTGGTGTCTGACTGTCTTTCCTGAGTTTTATTTCTAAGTATGTTTATGCATAAATGCATCCGAGTATCACACTGCGTAATTTGTTATGGGGCCAAGGAATCTGGAACCTTTGGCAAATTCAGGAGTCCCACCTCCCAATATCCACATCTGGAGGGTCCTGTCTGCCCAGCCCTTGTGCTCAGAGGCAGCGGGTGGTGCACAAGCCCTGGCCGCTGCAAAGCCTTATGATCCTGGACAAGTCATTTTATCAATACTTTTCTGGCCACAGTCTCCTGGGCTGCTCATTTCGAAGTGGTTTGCTGTTTGCCGAGGCCATCCCTGGCTCCCCTGCCCCTGAGGTCATCTGCCACATGAAGAGGATGCCTGAATGTGCTTCATTTGAGAGACTATGTGATTATTGGTGGCATTTTAAGGTGACAAAGACAGATATGCTTGCTTCAAGACCTTTTGTAAAAAAGATGTCTTTTCTTGGGGAGCCAAGGGTTTTTTTATGTTGGAGTTAATCATCTCGTATCCTTCTTTTAAAATGAAAAGGAGATCAAGAATACAGGGATCATACCTGTCTGGAGACAAGAGCTTCCTTTGGCCTGAAAATTTATTGTTCTTATTTACTGTGTCCATCCTGCTTGGATGTTCTCACGTGAGAGAGAGAGAGAGGGAGAAATAGAGAGAGGAGGGTAGTGTACAGGAGTTTGGCAGCCTGGGTCTAGAAAGGTTTTGTCCTGGCTTTACCACTTCTTAGCCACTTGCTATGAATTGGCCTTGGGAACCTTAGCTCTCTCCTCTGGAATGTGGGATAGGTGGCATTTGCGTTCCCTGGTTCAGGGCCCTGTTGTGAGGGGCAAAGGGGACACGCATGTAAGCACACCCAAGTGCTGTGTCCATGTGTGTATAATCATTATTCTGTTTGGCTACCGTGTGGGGCCAAGGGTTAGAACCTGTTCTTGCTATTTGAGGACAAATACTGACCTCTGTCATTTGTGCCAAAAATAACAGAGTAATTTTCCCTGAAGCTAACAAGACACAGGCTGCCTGCCTCTCAGGGGACTACTCATCAAGAGTGACAACAGCTGGTGACTATGCAACCTACAACAGCACTTGCATTTTCACCACCCGCCACCAGAATGCGAGGTTCCGGAACCTTGGCACACTGCTGGGATGAGGTGGGCTCCTTGGCTCTAGGAGGCACGCCACATCGTA